CATACATACATACATACATACATACATACATACATACATACATATTCCACTTCCTTTCTCGACGGAGGTACGACGTAAAGCGTAAAGGCTCACCTTCCTGGCTTTACAGGCTTGAATACATAGTTCACAGCGTATTGGTTTGACTTTCCTTGTACAGTGTAGAATGTCGAATTCGAATCGCGATCGTCAGTGCCATCATCGTAGTTCGTTTCCCAATAATAAAAATCGGACGGACTTTGAGGATTGCAAGGGTGCATTGGATCGAAGTCTCCTGCATCCATACGGCACATTGCGAGGTTTCCTTTGTACACTGGTGAGGTTGCCGATACAATACTAAAATTGAACATCACCTGTAGTGAATGAGCAGAACTCAGTGATGTTTGGGAGAATGTTAAACAGCATATGCAGATTAGTAAATTTTTTTGACGTTGCATTCGAGCTTCAACAAAGCCCTACTTATTCAACCTCCTGCACATATGACCATACTAAGAAGACTGCTGAGGAAGTTCTCTGAAGTTTTCGCCACGCAAATTTGATGCGTCGTCTGAGGTCGGCGAGACCGGCAACTTCAACATCGCAGACAATCCTGTTGAGTTCAGCCCACATCCTGTAATCAAGCGGGTTGAGATCAGGAGTTGCACTCGGATATTGTGTCTTCTCAAGATATTCGACGCCCATTGCATCCAAAAAGGCGAGAGTTTTCCTAGATGCATGGGCCTGTGCCCAGTCCTGTTGTGGCACAAAGCTTCCGTCACGATGAAGGTGGCTACATGACGGCAAAATGTCTTCTCTGAGCTACTGGACGTAGTACTCGGCATTAATCTTCAACCCAGGCTCCACGAACAGCAGCTCCGTCTTACCGTTCGACGAGACTCCGGCCCACGGCCCACACCATCGGGCCACGCTGGCTGATGGAGCGTGGTGACTGCAGCCCGCTCGGGCTGAGCTCCTTTTTCTACAGGGTGGTACATATGCGTATCTTATTACTGTCCATTGACGGAGAGATCAAGAAGAGCTTCTCATCGCTGAAAACGATCCGCTTCACAAATTCGTCGTTGAGTTTTGGCAGCAGACGCTGGCAGCATTCCGCGAGATTCTTCTGCTGCTTCTCGTTAACGCACTGGACCCTTACCTGAAGAGTGATTATCAAATAAGCCACAGACACCGAGGAGTTGACCCTGGACACCAGTTTGAATCCTCGTTTTTCCAGAATACGCTGAACTGTCGTCCGCGGAATCCCAGTGCGCTTGGCGATCACGGTTGCTGGAACGGTCGGCTCGTCTCCCACAACATCGCAGACCATTGCGGAGTTATCGGGGCTACAGGAAGTCAGCGTTCTTCCAGATCCTAAGCGACGTTGCCCAGGGATCTGTCCGTGAGCGACTCTATTGTGAAAGTTGCCTATCTGCTTGTTGCCGACCGATATCCCATAAGTCGTCTTGAGCGCGTCCGCGATGGCAGACGGCTTCATATTTCGATGCCGATATAGGAACCACACGAGTTCCTGCTTTCTTTCACCAAGCAACATTCTTAGCACAATTTACCCAATCACATTCTTCTGCTGCTTCAATCGGTGCGACGTGTTCCGCCCTGGATTAGGCCCTATGCCTAGTGTCTCTTTTTTTGGGCACCTCTGTATATATATATGATGCCGCAGCGAAGAAAGGAGAGGAAGGGCGCAAAGGTTAAGAAAGTTTAACGGTTGAGGTAAGAAATACGCTTAGAAATTGGCTAAATGCAAAGGAAGTGGTTCTTTGAGTGAATGGTTGTCGATATATCGGCTGGACAGCGGTTACCAATAGAAGGAATGCTGATCATTTGCCGTTTTAACTAGGGTAGCAGCACGGAGAGGGTGATCATTAGTTTCACGTAGAAGCACTTGAAGAAAACTAACACCAGCCTTCATGTCTTGGTACGACTCAAGCCACGTCGTCCCTGATCTTTCGCTCCGTGTCGTCAAACACCCCATTCTCTTCCGCTCTGGATTATGACAGCCACTCCATGCAATGCTCTTAGGGAAAGTCCCAATCGACTCATTTTATCTACCTCACGCAGCCTTTTCACCAGAAAATTCGTCGAGATGTACTCTTGTCAGACCTGAGGGGCGATCATTCAACTTTAGTGTTTTTAAAGCAAAGCACTAACAACTGTTTCACGTGAATAATCCTAACTTTGAATAAATGAACAGAGTAAAAAAATAAGTTTAAGTAATCCTGTTTCGTTATGCCTTTACCTATTTACCAATTCGCCCTCTTTTCCAAAACAGCCTTTTGCTTACCCTCTTCTATTAGAATCAACTCTCCTCTAGGAACACATAATCTTGCAATTCACATACTTTCTAATCGTTGCTGCTACAGTCACCTTTTCATCTGATAGCCTCTTCAATTACTACTGAGGGCCTCCAAAACCATCTCACAATCGTATATTTTACCTGGTGTCTTTATTACCGTAATTATGTATATGTTACCGGTTGGATCGAACGGCTGGTGCCAGGCTCTAGTCGTTTTCTTGTTCGATTTGGCCTGTCGTCCGCATCACTTTCAAAATTGGATGCTCTAGTACAGGAGGACAGGAGTTATGAATCTTCGGAGACCTATCGCCCAACCGAGCTTTGTGAGCGCCTAGCCCGCCATGAAAGGGTCTTACCCACGTCAGACGATGTGGGTAAGACTCCTTCATGATGTGTGTTTGGATAAGTTGTACCCTTAGCGTTTTCATCCTGTCACCTGTATCCCTTGCAGAGCTGGATGTTCACGTTCAATGCATTAATTTTTGCGGAAGCTCTGCTCTATAATGGCAGAGTCCATCCCGCGGGTGGAGTCCAGCCCTGTCATCATTGTTTCCATCCTCCGACCTGAACTGATACCGCTGAAAGTCTGAGGAAACAGGAGCAATGAATTAATGGTGGGACACCCATTGCTGCTTACGCTCCGCCTCCCACTTCCAGTCCTATCACCTACCATCAGTGTTAACATCCTGAAGTCTCTACTGTTACAAAATTTGAACGCTATAGGTACAAGAGATCAGGGGTACGTAATTCCGGTGAAACACATACCGACAGACCAAATGTACTTTTAGCGTGTTCATTATAGTAGGATTTTTTATCGATGTGAGATCATTACTAAGCCTATTACTGTTTGACAATATATTCATGGGACGTGAAAGGAAGTTCCTGATAAAACGTATTTCATTGGAAACCCTACTGTAAAAGTGATAATAACATTGTAGAACTTCTCAGCTGCTTTCTTAATTGTTACTGTGTCACGCTGCAAACGTCCTAGTGTGCAGAATATCGAATAAAATTCGAATCCTCCGTGCCCATCACCACCTCTTCCATTTTCTCCTCGGGAAATGAGTTGTTAGTAGCGGCGCCACACCAAGTAGTACAAATCGACACTAGTCAAAATCGATCAGCTTTGCCAAAAGCGATCACTGCGTTCACAGCTATACTCCCCCCACATCCCTTCGACCTTCTCATAGTTGAAATACTGTACGATCATGGAGAACAAAGCTGCGATTAATCGGACAGTTGCGAAACAGATCAATCTAGCAAAGAAGTGCATGCGCTGATATCCCTCAGGCATAAATCCTACCATTCGTAAACGCTTCATATCTGAAAAGCTGTAAACTGATCGTGTCCAATTTATTAGGCCTTTGAATATGATTGTTGACATAGGTTTCCCAGGTTAAGTCACCTGTTCCTAATTAGCTCGACTCATTTGTCACTTGTTCCAACCTGGCTGAGCTGCTTCAGTTCAACTTTAGGAAAGCGTCATATAAGGTGGTGTTGAATAGGCAAACAAAAAAAAACGAATATTGGTGGTTAATATGTAGTGAGTGTCCTTCATTAGGTAGGCTTGCCAGGTGGATCAGGGATGCTGATAGTAAATGTATTTTGCTAACTCGCGCTTTACCCATCCTTTAAGGGGGAGATGTTAAGGATGGGTGAAGCGCGAGTTAGCAAAATACATTTACTAGCCCCAAGGTTTACGGTACAGTTG